GTCCCCTTGTAACGGGGCAGCTGGGTGCAGGGTGAGCAGGGCCCGGTGCGGGGCTACTCTGCTGTCCGGGGGTTGGGGAATGTAGAGCATCCCCGCTGCCACCGTTTAAGCTCATCACCTTCCCCACCCCGACAATCGTATAGTTTGTGCCCAGGGTCCAGGTGCCACCGTTCACTGCTGGTCTGAGCTCAGGGTCACGTGGATCCCATCACATCCAATACAGAGTCCTGGGAAGCTACCTTTTGGCGATTTTCTCTGCCGGCCTTGGATTTCCACCATTGGGCTCAAAAACATGCCTCCCACTAACTGTTCTCAACTCCTGCCCTCTTCGCACTATACCTTTTTTCTTTGGTTTTTATCACTCATTGTCCGTCCTTGGCTGTTTGTGTAGTAGTGCGCAAAAGTAATAGCTGTGTCCTTAGGCAAAAACTAAAAAACTGTTATTTCTTGAGGGCTATGTTCCAGGCACTGTTCTAAGGCCTTGATTTATAGTCTAATTTGGTCCTTAACATCAATTTATATGACAGAGCTACATCTGCATTCGCATACAAAGAAACAGGCACAGTTTACCTAAGTTAGTTACTGTTAGGGAAAGCCCCAACAGTCTGCATTCGGGACTGATTCCAAAGAACTGGCGGGTAGCTTTATTAAAATCCGTAAGAGCTTTAATACAAGGGTAAAGCAGCTGCCCTCCCAGTGGTGGCCGGTGGATTCGTAGTAGAAGATGTAAGGAAGTAAGCAGAGATTGAGATGATGTGGCCACGAGCCAAAGGAAGCTGGCAGACTCTAGAACAGGGCTGGCAGGGGTAGGGAACCTTTTTTCTGCCAAGGGCCATTTGGATATTTGTAACATCATTCAATTGATATAACTCACTTAATATAAATTTATGTTGCTATGAAGAAAGCTCCTAGATTTATTGAATTTCCAGTCCCACCTGCGGTTGCCTTGGCAGGGCCAGACCAAATGATTTCTCCGGCCTTATACGGCAGGAGGGCCGGGTGTTCCACGCCCCTGCTCTAGAACTTGGAAAGATAAGAAACATTCTCTTCCGGAAACTCCAAAAGGAACCAGTCCTGTCAACATCTTGATCTGCAGAATCACCTTGATGTGTCCCTCACCTATATCTGCAGAAAACTGTAGACTAACTCCCTAGCAAAAGGAGTATGAGTGGAAATCTATACACTGCTGATCCCTTTTTCCTATCTGTTCATTGGCTTACAGGTTGCAGTCATCCCATGCACCTGCGCAGGCAGCAGATTGAATACCTCTCTAGGAAATTCAAGTGAAAAAAACCTGAGGATTCTGACAGTTGACCTAATCACCTTATAATGAAGTTCTCCACTTAACATGCCCCATCTTTGTTTTTAGTCCTGTTACTTATTGTTAGGGAAAGCCCCAAAAGTCTAAATTAGCAGATAGTACAGATTCCCAACAATTCGAAGAGGTTGCTAGTATGAAGAAACAAACAGAAAAAAAAAGGAAATATGAGGAAACAGTGACAAAAATATTTAAAAATCCAGTACTAATCTTTTTTTTAGAGAGAGAAACAAGGTATTGCATTCATAAAAGAGGAACAGGGTGATAGTTTTAAGCAATACTAGTGTTCAAAATATTACATTGTAAAATGAGATCTCTGATACTTAAAAGTATTATAACAAAGGCATAAATAATTTCTAGGTTTAGAAGATAAACTCAATGATATCTTCCAGAAAGGAGAACTAAAACTACAAAAAGATAGTAAATAAATAAAAAATATTTTTAAATGCTTGAAGCTGCAGGTCAATGGAGCAGTGCCTTCAAAATTATAAGGGAAAATTATTTCTAACCTAGAAGTCTATACTGAGCCAAACTATAACATTCAATTGTAATAGAATGAAGATATTTTTATATATAAAAGGAGTCAAATGATTTATCTCTCATGCTCCCTTTGTCGAGAAGTAAATGGCCAGTAAACGTGTACTTTCATCACAAAAATAAAAACACAGGCGACTCTCTCTAGGGAGCATGTCCATGCCTCCCCCACCCCCCTTCCCCAGGTGCATTTTCCTTGCCACTCTCTCCTAAACGCCAAGGGCTTTCCTTTTGCCTCTGTAACTTGTTTCCTAAGCCTATTTGGTCTACAGCTTACTTCTCCTACCTCTGTGTCTTTCTAAATAAGCTTTCTCTTATAGTTCGAAAAATAAAAAAAGAACACAAGAAAAAGGATAGGGGGACGAGAAGGTCCCCACAACAGAGGCGTCAGCGCGAGAGAGAGGCAAAAAGAGTGGAAGGACGATGCCGAAGGAAGAACCTGGGATGACAACTACACGAAAGGCCTAGAAAGCAGCAGTCCCATTTGAAATTGGAGAGCTTTAGGAGGAGTGTCTCCAAGAAAAGTAATATATTTGAACATAGAGGGGAATTCTTGCTTCTGGGTGTGGGAGATGAATTAATGATAAGAAATTAGAGTAAAAAGCAGTAAAAAAAAAAAAAAAGCAAATTGACCAAGAACAAAAATGTAATCATATCACTCTACATGACTTATCTTTGAATAATACTTATGCAGGCATAATAAGAGCAACATGTTATTAATTTAGGCCCAAGCTATGATCATAGTTGAGATGCAGATGCTGATTAGTTATTTTCCAGAACATATTACTTTCTTTGGGGTTTTCAGTGTTCTGATACAAAAATAGCTCCACAAATATAAATACACTGTAAACTTACCATGGTAGGTCACGCTTAACCAAAGGTTAAATTGATTCCCTTTTTATTAGAGAATTAAATATTAAAATATCTTTAATATTCCATGCTATGAGAAAAGTACAGTACTCTTATTTAAAAGGATCTGTTCCTTGTTTATAATGTTGTTTATGGGTAGGAGTAAAGATGAGAATAATTACATTTTTATTCCATTTTTCAGAACTGGGAAATTTGTCTTATTTAAGGCTCCTAAAATAATAATAGTGAATAGTACTATTGTAATTAGCATTGTTGTTATTTCTAAAGATTTAATTTTACCATAAAACAAAAAACAGTCAGTCATTTGCAAGTCCCTTGCACTATTGAATTATGTAACTTCCTCTTCCTTTTAGAAATCTCAGCCACATTGTAAACCAGACTGCCCTAAACTTACAATGTTAGCCTTTATTCCGGAACACATTTCTCTCCTCAGGGTTTCATATCAACAAGATTATGAGCAATGTTTTGTTAAACAATGAAGTCACCACTTAAAACACTCCACAGCTGACTTTCCTAGAACCAATTTGTTTATGCAATTCTAGAGAATCTCACTTAGAAGACAACAGGTTTCTGAAAAGAAATATATGTACTGCAAATTATATTTTGTCAATTCAATCACTTTTTAAATGCATTTTTAAATAGGTGTTCCCTATTTAAAAAAAACACTGAAATAAGTCATTTTGTCATGCTGTAACTCTTGTGAAAGTAAATAATTATTCCTTAGTAAACATCAGTTTTTCAGTTTGGATAGGTGTAGCTGATTATTTTATAATAAAACAATCCTGTGCAATAATAATAATTTCTGTTTCTAAATGATCATTTCCCCCAGTTATTTACAGTGTTTACAAAGCTATTTTTAAAAGTTCTTTCAACATAGATGAGTTTGCCATAGGGGAGTAGTCATCTATACTAAAAATTCCATCACAATCATAAGCTACACCTTTGACAGGTGATAAAAATATGGTTGGTTGACATACCAATATTTAGCTTGTAGATATAAGCTAAATTAATTTATAGTATGGCATTTGGCTCCCCTTTCAAAGGTGTGTGTTGAATTCTGCTCTCTTTAAAAATTAAAATAAATTTGACCATAGTTAGAAAATCCTTCCTTCCACAAAATAGAAATATTGTGTGAGCTTATCAAAAATTCTTCAAGCAAAGGTAAAGTGACTTGTGACTTAAAAAAAAGGGGGGGGATTTCAATTGTCAGTTGGGTCACTTATTTTGTTTCAAGGCTCTATTTTCTTCCCTTTTTTCGCCCCCATCATCCTATATAATAAAAGGGTAATATGCAAATTGACCAAATGGTGGAACAACCAGTAGCTATGACCTGCACTGACTACCAAGGGCAGATGCTCAATGCAGGAGCTGCCCCGTGGTGGTCAGTGCACTCCCACAGGGGGAGCACTGCTCAGCCACAAGCCAGGCTGACGGCTGGCAAGCGCAGTGGCAGTGGCGGGAGAGGCTCCTAGGCAGCGCTAAGGATGTCTGACTAAGCCGTCAGTCGGACATCCCCCAAGGGCTCCCAGACTGCTAAAGGGCAGGCTGAGGGACCCCCACCCCCAGTGCACTGGGCCTCTAGTGATAAGTAATATTTATGTGGAGCCTGAGAAATAAAAAAGAGACCTTCTAAGGAGAGCTCCTGGTGGCTTGGAGTGAAATTAAAATGAAACAAAAAACCCAGTGCCTAGCAGCCATTTCTACACAGGGGCCTCTCAGGCAAACTGCACTTCACCTACCTGCATGGTCTTTCAGTAATCTGAACCAGCCCTTATAATGGAGCTCCTGGAATCCTATTTTAACCAATAGGACCAAGGCTTTCCCCATCCACTGGGAGCTGCCATAGCTATATCACCATCAGCTTCTTAACCATCCAGTCAGAGCAGTTTCATTTTGACCAATCAGGATAGTCTTTTGGACCAATCAAATGCAAGGATTTGGATTTGGAATCCTTATTTGCATGAGGAAAAACCAATCAGGGAACAGGACAGGGACTTCTGTCTGTATAAGTCAGCTCTCTTCTGGCTTTGAGTGCAATTTTCCTTTCCAGAGAACACTAAAGACTGTGTTTGCCTTGCTGCTGCTGAAATACCAAAGATTTTTCACAGGAGCAGAGCAGAGCAGACTAGACCAGACCAGACCAGACCTGGGCAGAGCAGACCAGCAGGGAGCAGAGCAGACCTGTCTAGCCAGAGAGGGCCTGGCCCAAGGGCCACCTGGCCCCAGGGTCTCCTCACAGCTATGATGTATCACAATTGAGCTGTTTGCACTGAATAAAGTTTCCTTCTTCACCATATCCCAAATTGGGGATTCCCATTGGTGTTGAGTTGATGCCAACACTTTCATGGACACTTACAAGGACAGAAATTTAAATATGTTAGCCTACTCCATGCAAGATCCCTCTAACAGAAAATATAAAAAGGTGATTGATAATATACGAGAATTTACTACAGTACAGTTGAAATAGCCATGTTGGTAAAAGGGTACAGCTCTTTCTACATCAGGGTTCAAAATGATCATCATAGGAACACTAACTACAATATTTTGTGGCCACTTACATTAATGTTTAATACTACCTGGAGTACTTAAGAGCATCTGGGTCCTGTTAAGAAAGTAAAATCATTGAACTCTCTGAATACATGCACATTTCACAGGAGAAGCACAACATTGACATTTGGGTGGCCCTGGGTTTCAGAACTCATTGGCTGGTGTTTCTTACCACACAGGACAGTACTCTCTCAGTCCATTAAAAATTGTATTTGCTTTTAACTGTAGAATTCTAGTTGGGATTCCTCTCTAAGATGTGAATACACACACCCTTAAAAAGAATGCCAAAGGCTCTGCTCCAAATTACACATGGCCAAACGTGTTCCAGATGTTCATATTAGTTGTATTTACATGGCCAGGAAGATGCATAATGTCTGAACTGTATTCATATGGAAAGTTACTGCCGTTTCTTTCACTCACTTAGTTTCTTTTGTGTGGATAATGGGGTGATTACATTAATTTGACCTTTGGGTCCCACCCTCATCCTTCAGCTCTTGTTTTTGTCCTTACCGTGTAATATTACTTGTAAGCAGAAAAGGTCTTTTTTGTACTAAACATTACTTCATCTTACAGAAACTTCCTGAATGCCGGGGCTATACTTCAAATGGTGTTTAATGCCTGGCACAATGCCTGAGGAACAGAAAAACTTTCTAGAATTCCCCTATTTTTCTGTTTCTAGGACCCACATTGTTTTTCACATTTTAACTCTTCAGAACTGAAGATTTCTGTCAGAATCAATGTTAATAGACTATGTCAGCTGCCAGGCCAAAGAGTAAGAGGTGACAGTTTTCTTTACCTGCTCACCTATCCTCTTTAGCCATGCTCAAAGGTACCCCTTGAACAGATTGTCACCTAGTTGCATTATTTGCATTTATAGCATTTCCAATTGTTACATTTTTCCCCACAATTTTCTTTCTTTTAAATATATTTTTATTGATTTCAGAGAGGAAGGGAGAGAGGGAGGGAGGGAAGGAGAGAGAGAGAGAGGGAGAGAGAGAGAGAGAGAGAGAGAGAGAGAGAGAACAACATCAATGATGAGAATCATTGATTGGCTGCCTCCTTCTACTGGGGATTGAGCCAGAAACCCCTGCATGTGTCCTGACTGGGAACCCAACTGTGACCTCCTGGTTCATAGGTCAATGCTCAACCATTGAGCCACACTGGCTGGGCTTCATTTTTACCTTAAGTTAGGATTCCTGTTATCCTTGAAAATGCCTTCAAAAAGGATCACACAATGAAGTAACTCAAAATCACTGGGTACAAAGCCATAGCCAACCCGTGGTCGGCAAATTGCGGCTCGCCAGCCACATGCGGCTTTTTGGCCCCTTGAGTGTGGCTCTTCCTAAGCCTTAGGAGTACCCTAATTAAGTTAATAACAATGTACCTACCTATGTAGTTTAAGTTTAAAAAATTTGGCTCTCAAAAGAAATTTCAATCGTTGTACTGTTGATATTTGGCTCTGTTGACTAATGAGTTTGCCGACCACTGGTAAAGGCAACAAAACAAAGGCCAGAAGGAGGCAGGATTTCCTTACCTCACCCTGCAGGTATTTTAGGAGGTCTAGTTTCCTCTCTGAGGATTGGCCTCTTCTCCAGTGATTGACTCTCTGAAGGCCCACCCTCTATAAGGAAGACCTACATCACAATAAACCTAACATCTGTTAAACAGCTGTGTAAAATGAGCAGGGGAATCTTTCAGGTGCGAGCTCTAGGCCAGACATAGGAAATTGGGAGAAATAGGTACTGTTGTTATCTGAAGCCAAAGGTCTGGGTAAGGATACTCAGGAAGAACAGCATGGATGACCAGAATTTACCCGGATGAGAGGGGCAGAGATGGGGCTTCCTGACCAGGATTTGGGGAGGTAGAGCTATGCCACGGCACAAAAGCAGGAAGCACTCCATGTGCTTAGTATAAGTGAATCTCTGATTAAAACTACAGATTCATTACTGGAACTCTTGAAAAGTAACAGGATGACATCCATTTTTTAATTCTTAAATTCTAAGAGCCAGTGTAGGATGTGTAATTCACTCTCTGTAGTGGGAGGGGCAAGCACTGTCATAGCTATTGTTTCTCAAATCCAGTTAGAACTGGCTCTCTGGTTATGGTCTTGTAGCTAATTCTTCCTGGTGTCCCTAAAAGATGTGTAAAATACCTTTGGATGTAACTCAAGCATATCCCTTCACTTCCATTTCCCCGGGAGCCTCCCTCTCAGAGCTTCATCTGAGCGATTTGCTCTTCAGCAGCCGCAGAGCTGTTTTCCAGGACTTTCCATCGTCTTCATCCTCCTCCTCACCCCGCCTTTATAGGCTGAAACCCTGAGTCCTGCATCACCTCCTTCACTCGCTCATTTTGGAAAAGCACTTCCTCTAATAGCTTCCTGAGAAAAGGATCATGAAAGGTAAAAATGCTTAAAGCTTTGCATCTTTCAAATTTTATTCTAGATGATAAAAGAAAGTAAAATTACAGAGGAAAGGAAATCAGAAAGCCAATCTTGACTGAAGAATTGGTGTTAAGATGTGAAAGAGAAATATTTTCCTAGTCATCGTTTGCTCTGATGGAATTATTGTTTTCTTAGTACAGTTTTTTATAAAATCGTACATGCATTCATTTAAAGCTTTGCACTCTACAAAAGCATACACTAAAAATAACAAGACATATGGGATAAATAGGGCTGGGGCACACCCACACTGCTCATTATAATAAGACACTGCTCATTATAATAAGAGACCAACAAAAGCAATAAACATCTATGTCAAACACACACACACACACACACACACACAACGGCTCAGTTCATCTCCACTAGCGGCCTCTGACATTGGATTTGCACTTTCTCCTTTGAGACCCAGGGGCATTACATCCAAAAGACCAGATTTATCAAAATTAAAAACCTGAATCAGAAACTTTCATCATTTTTTTTTAAATACAGAGAGAAATATTTTTGCAACTTCCTCATCTGTCTTCACAGCTTCATCAGATAGCTTAATGTCATAAATGCACAGCACTTCTTGAAACCACGAACCCGGCCTTTGCTTTCTCTAATGGAAGTAAGCTCTGTAAGATCTCTTTCTTAAGGTGTTTACATATTGCTAAGGCTTGTTCTTTCATTGTGGAGAAGGTTTGCTCCTGATTTCTTGGAAATCACATGCTGGGGAAAATTGTGTATGAATCAATACAACTTCAGCATTATGACCCTGATATTATTTCCCATTTACCCTGTGTCTGAGCTCATTCACACTGCTGAAACATGTGATAACAGAACAGACCTTCAGTTTTGTTATTTGAAAGACTTTAGGGAATACACCACCCCTAGAATCCTACCACCGTTTGGGTTTGCTCTTTCCCCTCATTTCCTCAATCATCTCTCCATGTTTCTTTCTTTTCCTGTACAAGCAAGGAAAATACGTTTGATTTGGTTAAGATTATGCTCCACTGCACACAGAAATCTAAAGTAAAGCGATTTAAACATAATAAAGATTGATTTTTCTCACATAAAAGAAATCCAGAAGACCACCTCATGAAGTAAAATTGCTGCTCTGCTCCAGCCATCACATCCACATCCCAGACAGCAGGAAGGGGGAGGAGCAGATGGGTGAAAAGCCACAAGTCCTCCTCTTAGGAAGCCTTCTTAGAAGCTTCAGAGGACACTTACATTACATCTCATTGGTCATACCTAGTTGCAGAAGGTTCTAAGAAATATTGTCCAGTAGACAAGCACATTGCCCAAAGTTCTGTTATTAAAAAAAGGAGTGGATATTGTAAGGCCATCAGCATTATTTGGCACAGTATTATTTCAAAATACTTAATATATATTGAGCATATATGTTAGAAACTGAGTCAATGATAAGTAAAACTTGATTTCTACCATTAAAGATACATGACAGGCCCGGCCGGTGTGGCTCGATGGTTTGAACCAGGAGGTCACAGTTTGATTCCTAGTTGGGGCACATGCCTGGGTTGTGGGCTCAATCCCTAGTGTGGGGTTTACAGCAGGCAGCCAATCAATGATTTGCTCTCATCATTAATGTTCCTATCTCTCTCTCCCTCTCCCTTCCTCTCTGAAACCAATTAAAAAATTAGTTTTTTGTTTTTTTTTAAAAAAAGATACATGACAATATAATGTGCAAAGTTAAATTAAGAATTCATGGTAAGTCACAGAACACGGAGCCAAGCCCAGTTATGGAAGGGTGCCCTACCTGGAGTGCACCACCAAAAATTACATTTGTTTATTTTTTCTTTTTACAGCAATATTGCCACTTGCTTTACAGTCACACCTGGGGATAGAAAAAGCACAAGAATGTGCAGGACCCTATTGTAAGTTCTTCTCATCAACAAGATGTAAGTACCCAAAGGAACCACTTCATCTGAACACCACGCAGAAAGACAAGTACAAAATCCCAATTGTCCACCAGTGGATTCTAGTTTTAAAACATCGTCGCTATACATTATGGCACTATTAAAAACTGGTTCTAACTGACAACACCAAAGACTGACAGAAATGTGGAAAAACAGGAACTCTCATTCTTTGTTGATGAGAATGCAAAATGGTACAGTCACTTTGGAAGAGCATTTGTCAATTTATTACAAAGCGAAATATAGTCCACCATATTATTCATTAGGCCTGCTCCTATGTATTTTCCCAAGTGAATTAAAAACTTGTGTTCACACAAAAAACAGTACACAGATGCTTATAGCAGTTTTATTCATAATTGCCTAAAATTGGAAACAACCAAGATGTCTGTCAATAAGTGAATGCATAAACGAATTGTGGTACATCTGTATTAGGTTCTTCAGCAAAACATAACCATATATATATGTTATTGAGAACCAGGAGAGTTGATGGTGTAAGTTCCAGTCTGAGTCCAGAAAAAACTGATGTCCCAGCTTGGAGACCCTCAGGTGGAAAAAGTGAATTCTAGCTCAGCCTTTTGTTTTATTCTGACATGTTTGGATCAGACGAGGCTTGTCCCCATTGGGGAAGGTTACCTGCTTTACTCAGTCTATTGATTCAAATTTTAATCTCATCCATAAACCCTCACAGACACACCCAGAATTATGTTTAACTAAGTATCTGATACCTGGTGGTCCAGTCAACTTGACACACACAATGAACCTTCACAATATCCATACAACTGAATATCATTCAGCAATTAAAAGAAGTGACCTATTAAACCATGCAAAGACATGGAGAAACCTTAAGTGAAGGAAGCCAATCTGAAAAGGCTACATACTATATATGATTTCAACTCTGACATTCTAGAAAAGTAAAGTCTATAGAGGCAGTAGGAGGATCAGTGGTTGCCAGGGATTTGTACGGGAGGCAGTAATGACCAGATGGAGCAGGAGGGCATGGGGGTTAGGGAGATGAAACTACTCCATCTGATTCTGTAATGGTGGATATATGGCATTGAACATTCATCAAAACTCATAGAACGGTGCAATACAAAGGGTGAACCCCAATGAAAGCTATGAACTTTAGTTAATAATGTTAACCTAAAAATAAAAGGCCAGAGGAAGAGGCAACACGTATTTATTGGAGATTCACAAAAATTTGGGAAGCACTGATTCAGGTAGAAACTCAGTTTTCCAGTTAGGAGGTGAAGGCAGAGGTATATTTATGAGAAAGGGAAGGGGAATAATTATGTGAATAGAAGAAAGGAATGTCTATGAGTTTAGATAAAGTAACATAGTGATGCCAATTCTAAAGAATGTTTTACATTTTCAGTCCCATAGTCATATCTGCTTTTCTGTTAGCTTTGCAAATAGTTTGGAATACGATGCTGCTTTAAGCCCACTCGAAAGGTTATTTTGTCCAGTTTTAACATTCCAAAGGTTTGAGGTGTAAGACATGCAAAGTAGCTGTCTGGGATGGCATTCCGATTCCATTTGAAAGTGGCTTGGTTGGCCCAGCTGGTGTGGGCTCAGTGGGTGAGTGTGGATCCATGAACCAGGTTTTGCTGGCTCCAAAATATGATATGAGAGACTGAGTTCGGTTTCTTTAAGTTGGGTTTGTACAGTGCTTTCTAGAATTATAGGTCATGGTTCTGTGAACCCCGAGGAGGAATTTATCTGCTGAGATGGAATTCCCATGTGATCAACCCAGGGCTCAGATGTTATTAATAAAAAGATTCTAGCAGCATTTGCTGACAGAGGCACCTCACTGTGTACCAGGAAGAACCTCAGGTTGAGGTCCCTGCACCGTAACCCACTTATTAAGCATTTGAGTGAATCACTGCCGGAAAACCTTGGTTTCTCCTTCTGCCAATGGACTGAGACCTGCCTGTCCAAACAGAACTACACAAACTGTATCCTCATTTGCCTCAATCAGTACCGCATAATTTGGACTGCACAATTTGGAAACCTCATCTGTATAAAATTGGGAACTTTGGTGGGAACTTTCTCTATAAAAAGAGAAAGTCTCGGTGGAAAATAATTTAGTTTGCTACCTAAATCTGTGTCTCCAAGGCTGCAGCTCATTTTTCTCAGACAAATGCCTTTTATTCTTTAAAAGTCTGAAATTAATTTTGGTCTACAGCTTCCTCCAATTTAACTACAGAGGAAGTGTCAGTGCACACGGTTGTCCACTAGAGGGTGATATGAGCCTAACTTCTTAAAACATGAGACCAAAACAGATTCTAGCACAAATGTATTAGCACATTAGCGACAAAAATGAAAAAACTCCCAAACAACCAAAATTTAACTAATTTTTATATGACCTTTTGGTTTGTGCTATGGTTGGAACATATTTCTAAAAATGCACATTAATAGAAAAAAATAAGCATTATTGCTAGATATTCTAGAATGATAAAAGAATCAATCCATCAAGAAATTATAGCAATCATAAATATATAGGCACCTAACAGAAGAGTCCTAAAGTACATGAAGCAAAACTTACAGAATTTAAAGGAGAAATAAGCAATTCAACAACAATAATTAGGAGATTCAATATCTGACTTTCAATAACATACAGAATAACTAGGTAAAAAGCCAACAGGAAACTAGAAGACTTAAACAACATTATAAGCAAACTAGACTTAATAGACATATATAGGACACTCCATACAAAGCAGCAGAATACAAAGTCTCAAGTACATGTGGAGTATTCTCTAGGACAGATATATGTTAGGCCATAAAACAAGCCTCAATACATTTAAAAAAATGAAATTATACAAAGTATGTTCTCTAATCATGATGGAATGAGTTCAATAACAAAAAATTTTTGGAAATTTACAAATATGTGGAAATTAAATAACACACTTTTTAAATTTATTTTTATTTTTAATATTTTTATTGATTTCAGAGAGGAAGGGAGAGGGAGGGAGAGATAGAAACATCAATGATGAGAGAAAATCATTGATTGGCTGCCTCCTGCACGCTCCCTACTGGGGATCGAGCCTGCAACCTGGGACCCTTCAGTCCACAGGCCGATGCTCTATCCACTGAGCCAAACCGGCTAGGTTAAATACACTTTTAAATAACAATGGATCAAAGAAGAAAACACAGAGTAAAGTAGAAAATATTTTGAGATGAATGAAATAAAAAACATACCAAAAATTAATGCTGTAAAATCAATGCTTAGAAGGAAACTTATAACTACCTATATTAAAAAAGAAAGATCTCAAATTAATAACCTCATCTTTCACCTTAAAAGGCTACAAAAAATATATAAGAGCAAGATAAACCCAAAGCAAGCAATAGGAAGGAAATAATAAAAACCAGAGGAGAAATAAATGAAATAGAGAATAGAAAAACAAATAGAGCCCAGCTAGCATGGCTCAGTGTTTGAGCATCAACCTATGAACCAGGAGGTCAGGGTTTGAGTCCTGGTCAGGCCACATGACTGGGTTGCGCGTTCCATCCCCATTGTGGGATATGCAGGAGGCAGCCGATCAATGATTCTCTCTCATCATTTATGTTTCTCTCTCTCTCTCTCTCTCTCTCTCTCTCTCTCTCTCTCTCTCTCTGCAGGAGGCAGCCGATCAATGATTCTCTCTCATCATTTATGTTTCTCTCTCTCTCTCTTTCCTTTTCTCTCTGAAATCAATAAAAATATATTTAAAAACAAAACAAAACAAAAAGATACAAGCAACAAAACCAAAAGTTGGTTCCTTAAAAAGATCAACAAAATTGACAAGGCTTTAGATAGACTGACCAAAAGAGAGAAGAGAGAGAGAGAAATACAGAGAGAGAAAATTCAATTACTAAAATAAACAATAAAGAGGGGACATTACTACTACATTAAATAAATAAAAAGGGGAAAAGAAATAAGTGAATGCTAAGAACAATTGTATGCAAACAAATCAGATAACCCAGATAAAATGGACACATGGCAGAAAGACACAAACTATCAAAACTGACTCGAGAAGAAATAATATATCTGAACAGACCTATAACAAGAAAAAATATTGAAGTTGAAATTTTAAAAAATTTCTACAAAGAAAAGCTCAGAACCAGATAGCTTCACTAGTTAATTCTACTACCAAGAAATAACAATATTTCACCATTTTTCCAAATATTAGAAAAGGAGGGATCACTTCCAACTCACTATGCACCCACTGTTATCTGTTACCAAAATCAGATAAAGATATTACAAGTAAAATAAACTACAGACCAATATTTTTATGAATACAGATGCAAAAATTCTCAACAAATACTAGCAAATTGAATATAGCAACACACAAAAAAGCACTGCACACCATTACCCAATATGGTTCAATATACAAAAATCAAGCAATGAAATATGCCATAAAATACAATAAGGACAAAAACCACATGATTACCTCGTAGATGCAGAAAAACTATTTAGCAAAAGCCCAATACCTTTTCATGATAAACACACACACACACACACACACACACACACACACACCACACACCACACACACACACACACACACACAACAACAACAAACAAAAAAACAACAAAAACCCTAGAAATGAAAGGACACTACCTCAACATGATACGGGTATCTATAAAAAAACCACAGCTAACGTCATACTTACTGGTGAAAGACTAAATCTCCCTCCCCGCCACCCCAAAGATCAGGAACAAGACAAGGATATCTGCTCTTGCCACTTCTACTCAACATTGTATTGGAAGTTATATCCAGGGCAGTTGGGCAAGAAAAGGAAATAAAAAAATATACATATTTGAGAGGAAAACTATTTCTATTTTCAGGAGATATAATCTTGCTTATGTTGAAATTTTTAAAGAATACACATGTACACAAAAACCCTCTTAGAGCTAATAAAAAAGTTGAGCAAAGTTATAGAATGCAAAAGTTAACATCCAAAAATCAGTTTATTTCTATACAGTAACAATGAGAAATCTGTAAATGAAATTAAGAAAAGTGATTGATATTAATGATTATCATCATAAATTACACAAAAATGATTTGTGTTCTCTGTTTAAGGAGGGAAAAAAAAGCATGAAATAAATCTATGGGTTCTATGGCCAAAAATTGGGCACACACTAAATATCCATCAGTAGAGAATCAGTAAACTATAGTACATTTAGTCAATGGCAGATTATACACACATTAAAAATGAAGGTTTATATCTATTATACATAGATATGTGTTGCACAGGAAATGTCCACAATATGTATTCATTGTTCTACATGACATAAAAAGGTATTTCATATACCCCATCTGTGTGTGTTTCTGTGTGACTCACCAGCTATCTACATGTTGTCAAATCCATTTCTTTGTCCTTTTACTCTATCTACTTCAGAGGAGCATATGATATAATCACTCATCTTTCTTCAAATGCATTCTCTTCTTTCTTTCTGAGACATCATATTTTCTTGTTTTCCTCCTGGTTCTTTCCTATCCATCTCCCCTTCTGCTCTTTGCCTGACTTCAATTAATGAAATGCTCTGTGGCCTGGTGTTGGGCTCTATTCTTTTCTCAGGATTTATTGTCTCCCTAGGTGATCTTATAATGTCTTCTGGCTTTAAATACCACCCAAATGCTGATGACTTGACATTTTTATTTCCAACCCTGGCTTTTCTCCCTAGCTTCAGACTCTTGAGCTCACTGTCAATTTGACATTGATCCTTGGATATCTAATAGGTCTCTCAAATTTAAAAGGTCCAAAATAGTATTTTGACTGGTTGCCTTCCAAAATCTATCTCTCCCTACTCTAATGCATCCCTGTGTATGAACTAGGTCTTGACTACCTTTTGTCTTTATATCTTATCCACATTTCCTCTCATTCAGTCTGCTTTAATCTATCTTTTCCTGGTTCTTAGATATACCAAGTTCATTTTAGATCAGAACCTTTGCTTTTGGTGCTTCCTCTTCCTGAAATTCTCTTCCTTCTGATTTTCATTTTCATACAGATCTTTTTTAAAAAATATATATTTTTATTGATTTTTTACAGAGAGGAAGGGAGAGGGATAGAGAGTTAGAAACATCAATCAGCTGCCCCCTGCACACCCCCCACTGGGGACGTGCCCGCAACCAAGGCATATGCCCTTGACCGGAATCGAACCTGGGACCCCTCAGTCCCCAGGCCGACGCTCTAGCCACTGAGCCAAACTGGCCAGGCTTCATACAGATCTTAATCATCACTTCCTTGCAGAGCCTCCTGATCACCATATCTAAAGTTGATCTGATCTCCCAATAGCTCTCCACACCTAGTTTTATTTTGTTCATAACACTTATGTTTCATTATCTGTTTCTACTGAAATAGAGCCTCTATTAGAGAATTTGTCCATCTTATGGACACCTGTAACCAGAATACCTTTGAAGAGTTCTTGACACAGAATAGGTGCTCAGTCAATACATATGTGTGCATAGAAATAAAGTTTGAAAGGATATATACCAAACAGTTAACAGTGGTTACCTTTGAGTGAGGGATAGTAAGGAGCGTAAATTATGAATTGACTTTCACTTTCTACCCAGATATGTTTCAGATAGTTTTAAGTTATTTGATATAAAATTGTGTTAACAATTATAAAAATTAAAAAACACATTTTCAATTAGAAATATATGATTGATAATGTTTTTTAAAATAGCTATCTATTTATTTTTCCTATCACCATTTTACCCCCCCATACCCTCCTATAGCTCCCCCCCCCCCCCGCAATGTTTGATAAAGTTTTGAGGCTTACATAAATGGTTTAATTGAAACCGTTTACATGGGATACTTTCTTCATGATGTTAGGTAAGTAACATGTTCCTATATCTAGTAAAATAGCTATAATTTTGTAAAAGCACTGAAACATGAAGCCCCAGAAACATTTCACCCAATTCTCTTTCTTTGAACTTGACCACTGTATCTCTTGTAAATCATTTAAATTGATTTATTTTTCAAAAGGTAACAGATCAAATCATTGGCTTGATAATAACTTATCTTCATTTGTCTTTCAATTATTATGTTTTATATCTCTATTTAATATGTTCATCCTGAAAAGGTTTATTTGTTTTTTTATAAGCATACAAACCTTGTAATATTAGCTGTCATTCCCAGGTCTGAACATTTAGTCAACATGGGTTTGAGAGACCTTCAACTTATCAAGTATTGCAGGTCTCTGATTGTTTTGGAACGTCTTCTGATACCTGTGGACTTAGTTCAAGGCCAGTTTTTTTTTCTAATAGGATGAACAAATGGTTAATTGTTTGCTTTGGTCACTCAAGTGCAAGATTTTACCATGTATAAAAGTCTAGCTGCAGCTTCTGCTCAGTTAGTTACATCCTTACTTTTCTATTCAGATTCTCCTCCTCGGAGGTTTTGCATTAGATTTGCAAAATGATGAGCGTATCTTTGATCTGGGGGATTGTGGTAGCAATCTGCTGTTGTTTTTGGCTTATTCTTGGAATGAGGAGAAGGTAAAAAAGTTTTATCTTTAAATTGCATCTAAATTCATTCAGTTAATGTTCTTTTACTTTCATTGTTATACAATAAATTTGACTTTCTGTACTTACACTAACATTTTCTTCTCAAATTAAAAAATTTTACTTTAAATTTTTAGTGGTATCTTTTTAATTATATCTAACAAGATAAAATGATAGTTTTCCTTTTAGTTTCGGCATACCAATGGCAATGCAAAAATGTACTAACTTGTTAAACATAACTGACAGCAATGTATGAGATTTCTGTATTTTATGTGTGTATATAAAGAGGAAATCTGGATTAGTAAGGATACAATGGTAAGTGGGATCTGCCATGAAAAGGATTTCTATCACGCGCTTCAAATAAGATGCTCTGACTAAATAAATATTCTCTTTTCAGCTAGTTCTTGTGCATTATATAGATTCAGCCTAAGTTTAGACAAGAGCACAGAGCCTGCATTGATCATTCTATTATTTTTTTCTTAGTAAAGATATTTGACCATGATGAATTAAGAAACTGCTAAATGTATGTGACATCGCTTTTATTTTTGTGACATTTATAATGGGTCCAAGAATGCAAGAAATACAAATAGAGTCAGATGCATAGCCGTAGTTTAACTTCTGATGGGCTCAAAGAGTATTTTCAGGGATATTGGGGAGAGTATGTAAATATTCTCTATGTCAATCTCCAAAAGATAGAATTGCCCACAGCATATCTTCAGCTATGTAGATTGTTATGTGTTGTATACTTTTTACAAGTATTTTTTTTTTGTTCCTTAAAATGCTTTAATTCAGGCCTGATAGTTTCTAGGTTTTTTTCTCTCTCATGTTTTTTTTAAATATATTTTTATTGATTTCAGAGAGGAAGGGGGAGGTAGAGAGATAGAAACATCAGTGATGAGAATCATTGATCAGCTGCCTCCTGCATGCCCCCCACTGGGGTCGAGCCCGCAACCCAAGCATAAGCCCTTGACTGGAATCAAACCCGGGACTCTTCAGTCTGCTCACTGACACTCTATTCACTGAGCAAAACCAGCTAGGGCCATTTTTTTTTTTAATTTTCAATTACAGTTGACATAATTATATTAAATTTCAGGAATGTTTATATCCTTAATAAAAACACTTAAAGTAGCATGAAAGACTATTGAATTACAATTGATGATTCTGTTAATATGTATCTTATTTAATTTTATTTTATAATAAGCTAATTTCTCAAATGAGATTCTTCTTATCTTTAACAATCATCACAGTATAATAGCTTTAAACGATGAAGACTGTGAAAACTCTAATTCTGCAATCCTTTCTGTTATTCAGTATTCTATATCTTTAAGGAAAACAATCCAATACTTGGTCAAATGACACTTAGAAAAAATATAAATGCTAGAATGTAGGCTGATCTCTGTACTGAGAGCAATCATCTTGTTGGCCTTGTTTAGCCTTTGATCCTCAGTACTGGGAAAGTACCTAGCATGGAGTGGGTGTTCAGTAAGTGTTGTGGAATGTAAGCATGGATGGATGGGTGGATTTGGTAACCATTTTCACCAACATGTCATCTTACTAGGTTAATATAAACCCATTATTTTAGTAGAAGAGGAGGGCTCCATCAACACTAAAACATAGCTATAAGCTGTAGTTTTGAAGTTTGAAGTCAGTAGTATAAATTTTAAAAACCTGGTATAAATATAAAGCTATGTACTTTTCCATAACCATCATATTGTGCCTTACAGAAAAATGGGTGAACCTCCTCTGGAGAATGGGCTGATCCCTTACCTGGGATGTGCTCTGCAATTTGGTGCCAACCCTCTTGAGTTCCTCAGAGCAAACCAAAGGAAACATGGTCCTGTTTTCACCTGCAAACTGATGGGAAACTATGTCCACTTCATCACAAACCCCCTGTCATACCAGAAAGTGCTGTGCCATGGGAAATACTTTGATTGGAAAAAATTTCATTTCACTACTTCTGCAAAGGTAACCACTTTTGCATTTAGACCACATTTATACAACATGCTGTTTATTTTCTACTCTTTAATATGTCACTCTACTTAGTCATTTTGAGGAACAAGGAGAGTTTTATAATCAAATTAGATAGGACCTCTTGGTGCTAGTCATTTAAAAAGTTGAAATAGGTATAGATTTGTAATTTCTTAACCAGCTAATGAGAGTGAAATAAACATTAAATATTTTACTGAGACAGATGACACTGTATAAGTAAGATATTGCAAACTCACTCATGTCAACCATGTCTATACAACACCCAGAATGCATGTGGTCAGAACTGAACATGGAACAACAGTTTTGCCACATTCATGCCATACCTTTGTTTAATCTTATTAAGGAATTGACCAGATATTTTGGCATCACTTAGATGTAATGTAAGAGGCTTTTTTATAGAGAAAACAATTTACGAACATTAACTGAGTCCCTGCAAAGAAATATTAGACATGGTGTCTGCCTCTAAGTAACTTGAACTCTGGTTAAAATTCATCTACAAAGAATATAAAAGAGAACTAATGATTAAAAACCATTATTGATTAGTAACAAATTAACATGCAAATAAATGCCCTAGATCAGTGGTCGGCAAACCACGGCTCGCAAGCCGCATGTGGCTCTTTGGCCCCTTAAGTGTGGCTCTTCCACAAAATACCACGTGCGGGCGCGCACGTACAGTGCGATTGAAACTTCGTGGCCCATGCGCAGAAGTCGGTTTTCGGCCTGGGCGAGTCTATTTTGAAGAAGTGGCGTTAGAAGAAGTTGGGGGTGGACATATAGAGAGGATGAACGAAAGGAGATAGACGAAACAAGTATACAAGACGAGTGTGATCGGGAGAGTTGGAAGGGGTCGACCTCAGCGAACATACCTCAATCAGATTGAGAACGTTTTTAGCAAAGGCCAGCTTAGGAGTACCCTAATTAAGTTAATAACAATGTACCTACCTATATATATAGTTTAAGTTTAAAAAATTTGGCTCTCAAAGGAAATTTCATTCGTTGTACTGTTGATATTTGGCTCTGTTGACTAATGAGTTTGCCAACCACTGGGCTAGATAATAAAAACAAGAAATAGAGTGGTGGAGGGAAGTTTCACTGAGGAGCTGGGGTTTAAACTTGGCCATAAAGAAAGGGTACGATTTGGCCATTTACTGGTAAAATGTTATGAAACTTAGTATGTGGAGAGGCCAATTTCCATGCCCCCTTTTTAAAAAATGAAACTTTCCCAATTATGAAAGTACCTAATTTGCTTTTCAGCCATTTACTAGCACTAGGTCAGGTTAATTTCTTTTTTCTCCACACATTTTGTTTATCACCAGGCATTTGGGCACAAAAGCATTGACCCGAGTGACGGAAATACCACTGATAACATAAACAAAGCTTTCATCAGAACTCTGCAGGGCGATGCCTTGAATTCCCTCACGGAAGCCATGATGGAAAACCTGCAACTTATCATGAGAACTCCAGCTGCACCTGAGTCAAAGATGCCTACCTGGGTGACAGAAGGGATGTATGCCTTCTGCTACCGAGTGATGTTCGAAGCTGGGTACTTAACGCTCTTTGGCAGAGATCTTATGGGACAAGACGCACAAAAGGCACTTATTCTAAAAAAACTCGACAACTTCAAGGAATTTGACAAAATCTTTCCGGCCCTGGTAGCAGGCCTCCCCATTCATGTGTTCAAGGCCGCACACCATGCCCGGGAAAAACTGGCTGAGGGCTTAAGGCATGAGAACCTGGGAAAGAGAGACCACATGTCAGAACTGGTCAGGTTTCTGAATGACATGCTCTCCACCTTAGACGACACGGAAAAGGCCAAGACGCAACTCGCTGTCCTGTGGGCATCACAAGCAAACACCATTCCAGCCACTTTCTGGAGCTTATTTCAAATGATGAGGTAACTAGCAACTTCTCCAGTTCTTTATTTCTTTCAGTAGGAGGCAGAAAGTCAACTATTAAAAAAACATAAGCAGCTGTGACTGGTAAACATGCCTTATAGAAGCAGAGAGCCTCCCAGGGAGAGGAATGGGCTGGTGAGGGTCCACTCAGGCCACCTGGGCCCAGAGCCCTTGCTCTTAACCCCAGGCTGTTCAGTCTTCATAATCATAAAAGTGTATTTAAGTGGTTACTGACTTCCGGAAAAAAGGGCAATTTTTTTTTCATTCAGTCATTTCTGTCTTACTATTTATTTGACCAACTAAAATAGCTGTGGATCAATTATTCTTGATGGGATTTAGCTAGATTTTGCCTTTTAAAACTGTATGTAGCAAAAAAAGAAAAACAACTGTATGTAACATTTTATTTTACACAAACATGATTTCCTTCCAAAGTCTTTGTTTTGGAACTTTGGCATTCAAAGGGTTTATTGAATTATTTCAGTTAAATTGGATGTTTCGTATCATGTAGATACAAAATTACTATTCCCTAGGATCGGAAATGCCAAATTCCATTGATGGCTGATATTTTTATGTGTGCAATATAAAAAAATATTCTCAAAACAATTTCAGATTTAAAAACCCATTACCAATCTGTCTCAAGTGCTAAATGTCTTCCAGAGTTTTTACTTGAGAGGGCTCTGGCCGGGACATAGTCACATATTTACAGTAAGGTTACAACATCAATATAATGTCATGTAGGTAATGGCAGCCATTGTACGGCAACCTCACAAATACTTATCAGTCAAGCATTTCTGAGAGTCATTTGCTGCAATCATGTCATGTAAATTCCTTACCGGGGCTCTGAGGAGCCAGTCAATTTCCATGCATGAAAACGAAGCAGCATTCATTTCACAAGTCAAAGTGCTAGAACAGTTATAAATGGAAAAGCTGTTGTTCTGCCTGAAACTGTGGTAGAGATTTTAGGAGTAAATTTAAATTTGCATTTACAATTTAGCCAGTACTTTAAATTGCTATGCTAGATGCAATCTGTCTACTCAGTTGCTATGTCAGTGACTAATTTGATCGTTTAATCTTTACTAAAATCATTTATTCATAAAAATCTGGCCAAAGTTTTACTTCTACATAGCAAGGTCCTTTTAAGGAAATATCCATTTCCCACCTTCTCTGGTAGTTTCACCCATTTAAAAGATAGGGGGAAAGCAGAGTTTTTGGTCTAGAAAAAATTTATTTCATGTACATTTCTTTTCTCTTAACTTTTAATAGGAGCCCCGAAGCAATGAAAGCAGCTACTGAAGAAGTGAATAAAACACTAGAGAGTGCTGGTCAAAAAATCAGCTTAGAAGACCAAACTATTTGTTTGAATCAGATGCAACTGAATGACATGCCGGTACTAGGTACGCTTACTATGTTACATTCACTTACTGCCTCCTACTATCAGTAATTGTCAGTATACGTTATGCACTTGCCTGTTCTAGGCATTGTGCTAAGTAGTTCCCATGTGTTGTCTCTTTTGATCCTAGGATTAGGGACTGTTACTACGTCCATATAACAAATAAGGAGACCAACACTTAGAGGCTAAGCTGCTGTCTAGGATGGAATGGTGGAACCAATTACAACATTATTGTGGGTGCGACTCTTGACCCCACACTCGCAACCATTTCTCTGCACTTCTATACTCGCTCTTTTGTAATTACCTTTACACTAATTTTACAGTTAATTGGGAGCATATTATTCATTTTCATGAAATCAAGAGGGGAAAAAAAGCACCATCAAGAAACTACAAATAGATGCATGGGTTAAGTAATGGGACTGAAGTTTATTTTTCTTATTTTTGGTTCCATATTTTATAGAAACACAAAGAATATGCTTTTATAGTAAGAAAGACTTTTCTTTTTGTTCTTTTTGTCTGTAGGAAAGAAACCAAGCTATCTTTTAGGGGCCGTGTGTGTCAGTGGAAGGGATTGGGGGGAAGAAGCACAGGTCCCACAGTGGGCTCCCCCAGGGGAGACCTCAGACACGTCACTTCCCTTCTGGGGCCCTCGCTTTCCTCATTTGTAAAAGAAATGGCTAATAAGCTATTATTTTACACACAATCCTGTGAGGAGCACCCAAAACATGTCAATTAAAAGGACAGAGGCTGGAAGGCCAGGTTGGACCTTCTCAGTCGGTTGGAATGTTTCAGCTGCTGACAGCGTGGACCTGTTTGTCCCTGACGTCTTTACCAGGCAGCAGGGCATTGTCACACATCATCAACTAGTGTGAAGATAAAAACGGGTTCCTGTAAACATTGAATTGAAGCTGCATTAAACATATGGAAAAACATTTCCATATTAAAGTATTATCAGTAGATTAAATCCCCAAAGTGATGAACTTGGAATAATTCACAGAAAAGTGATTTGTCAATTTTCCCAATTGTATTAGATGTCCAGTGACATGTATAAATAAGAATATTTTTTCTATAAAATTATGAAAGTCTAGTTTCTATTCATCAAGATATCTTCTCAAAAGATTATTAATGCAGATTATCAGATTAAAAGATACATGCAGACAAAACTGAGTCGTTGATCACAGCATAGTGGTAACAGAAAAAAGTGGGAAATTTGTGTCTGGCCAGGTTCCCACAGTCTGTTTAGCTGCTAGAAGTATTTCAGACTCTATATTATGCGGCCTTTAAATACTTAATTTGTTCTTCCTTCTTCCCTCTCTCCCTCCTTCCTCCCCCGACTTTTCCTCGCCTCCTTTCTTCCTTTAAAACTATTCAGATAGTATCATCAAGGAGTCGCTGAGGCTTTCCAGTGCCTCCCTGAACATCCGGACTGCTAAAGAGGATTTCACTCTGCACCTCCAGGACGGTTCCTATAATATCCGCAAAGATGACATCATAGCTCTGTATCCTCAGTTAATGCATTTAGATCCAGAAATCTACCCAGACCCTTTGGTAAGTGCCTGCTCATCAAAGTACAATAGCCAGGTGATATCTCCCAGATGGAAATAAAGAGGAAATTACCATTACAGAATTGATTTAATTATGGAAACCCTAGGTCTCCTTTTTATGTCAAATATTCATAGATTTTGGAAAACCTAGACAATGGCCTGAATTCTTCATTTTTTCTGATATTTGTCATCACATAATCTCTGCTAGATTACATATGCAGCCATGATAATAAAGCTGCTGCCACTAGGCTGGTGTGGCTCAGTGGTTGAGCGTTGACCTATGAACCAGGAGATCATGGTTCAATTCCAGGTCAGGGCACATGATCCCCAGTAGAGGGTGTGCAGGAGGCAGCCAATCAATGATTCTCTCATCATTGATGTTTCTCTCTCTCTCTTCTTTCCTCTCTGAAATCAATTAAAATATATATGAATATGTATGAATATATATGTACACACACACACACACACACACACACACACACACACGCTCTGCTTTTCCTTGAAAAATGCCTGCTCCCAAATTCAGGAAATTAGAGGCTTAGAGACTAATAATAAATATACCGACTCTTCTAGTTTTTGAGCTTAACTCTCCTTTCTAGCTCTGCCTCACTGAGCAACTAGTCACCCAAGCAGGGCAGGAGGCATCATAAAGCTTTCTTGTTCCCATCAGTTCTTGTTAAGCTCTGGTTCTTTATGGCTTTCTGATTCATGGTGGGGTTTTTCCTAAATTACTAATAAATTGGATTTTAAAAAGAAAATTATCCTTTGGAGTGTCCAGGTCAAGAAAGAGATACATTTATTTAAAACTAGCTTATCGGTTTTTTTTCTTTGTATTTTCATTGCAGACATTTAAGTATGATCGCTATCTTGATGAAAATGGGAAGACAAAGACCACCTTCTACAGCAATGGACTCAAATTAAAATATTACTACATGCCTTTTGGGTCAGGAGCGACGATATGTCCTGGAAGATTATTTGCTGTCCAGGAAATCAAGCAATTTTTGATTCTGATGCTTTCCTATTTTGAACTAGAGTTTCTGGAGAGCAATGTTAAATGTCCCCCTTTGGACCAGTCCCGCGCAGGTTTGGGTGTTTTACCACCATTAAATGACGTCGAGTTTAAATATAAATTCAAACATTTGTGAATACACGGCTGGGAGCAAGAGGAAATTAGCTGATGTGACAGCGTGTGGAATGCCACCACTCCCCCGTCCACTTGGAGAGATGCATGTAGTGGTGTCGTGCTGGTCACCGGTGCTTGCTTGTGAATCCTAACATTTTGGTGATGGTTTCAGCTATCTCAGACTGTGTTAGTGAAAGAATCTAGTTTCCAGAAGCACAATGATGTGTTTTCATTTGAATAAGTTAATGAAAGCTCATGTAGCCAGGGACTAAACTTCATTATTTTCAGAGGAAAAAGTCTTTTGTTTTCCCAAATGAAGATTTTCCAATTGGCAGAATTTTTTCCTAAGGAAAGTGCTTTTATAAAAACCACCCAACAATTGTGAAAAAGTTATAAATTCACGTTTTAGTGAAACTGCATCATTTTTTGACTAGATGTGGAACTCTTCGGGTGTAGATGTGTATTATAAAGGATATTTTAAAGGATTATGTTTTTTAATGAAAAGAACATGTTTTTAAGTTTTCCTTAGATCCAGTATTCAGGAATTTTAAAATAATGATCTGTTGTCCTGATAACATTAAAATGGCTTTAATATTTTCCCTTTTTGTTTCACTTACTCTTTCTATAAAATCTAATGTCTATGTCAGGTTTCAATTATTTTATTTATACTTTCATTTGATTCTATTTAATGAGAAGATTTTATTTTCCAGAGAAGGGAGGTTTTCTGGTATTACTAAACATGCATCAATGAAAAGAATGAAGCTCTCATGTGATATGTTTTTAAAATTAAAACTGGATGAAAATGACCATTTAAAAGCTTTGGATATGAAACATCAGAAGAGTTTGTGACTTCACATTGTATTCTATTTAAATAAATTACTTTTTATCTTGAAATGACTTTTAATTGAAAGAAAAATAATTTAAGTCCATATGATAGTGTTTAACTACTGTGTACAACAATGCTTTGGTAAAATAGTTTAAGTATGGGAATTATCAGCTATAATATTTTTATTGATATTCCTGTATGTATTTATATATCAATTATATTTGCCTTTCTCTTATACTACAAATAGTAAGAAAATATTGTAACATTTGATAATTTTGAAATGATTCACCACTCAGAAATAAAAGTGTGAATGTGCATGCTTAAACATTTTTTTGGAGTAACCAAAGTTTGTTCCAGTCAGAATTACAGCAGTAAGGGACAGTAGCGGGGGGACTTTAATAAAAGTATGTATAAGAACTAAAAAAGGCCCATTAGGATGCTGGCCAGGTGGGTTAGTTGGTTGTAGTGTCATTCCATACACCAAAAGGTGGATTCCCCATCAGGGCACATACCTAGGTTGTGTGTTTGATCCCTGGTTGGGGTGCATATGGGAGGCAACTGATTGATATCTCTCTCTCCTTTGCTCTTTAGTGTCTTCTCATTGCAGTAGGGCCTTTTAGTGTCTTCTCTTGGAGTGCCTACTCTCAGTAGCAAAAAGGAGATGATGCATTTGAGAAAGTTTCTCTCCTATAATGACTTGCAGAAAATCCTCATTGTACTGGACCTATCTCCTCGTTTCTTCCCCCTGTGGAGACAAGATCTGGCCTGTGGGCCATGCAGAGAAAAGCCCAGTCTGCCTTCACCTGTGCAAAGGGTGAAGATGGCTCTGGAGTCTCCAGTCCTTGGAGCCAGCACATCATGGCTCTTCTCACTCTTGTCTCTCTGCCTCTGTTTAATGACCCATCACCCCCACACCCACGTGCCTGCCTCAGGTCCCTGGATTTCAGTATATTTCTCTGAGTCATGACACTCAGCCCTGCACTGACCATCTTTTCTTGGGGAGGGTACTTGAGTGAGGGCACAGGACTCTAAGCCTCAGAAGGTAGTCACTGTGCCTTGGGATGGAGGACCGTTGGGTGAAGTCATGTGATGGTGGGTGGAGCTGGGTGGGTCCTGGTCACTCGGTCCAGTACCCAAAGCTCTGTCTGGGCTTGAGCAGCCTTCCCCACCCCCACTACCCCCTCACTGCAGCACAGGAGGATTGGGGCACTACAGGCTCTGGTAGAGGAGGAGCTGCAGGCGTGAAAGGCCTGCAATAGCTGATTGCCACTGAGGAAAGGACTGGCCTTGCTCTTAAGTGGTTAAATATTCAGAATGTTTAAAACATTCACCTCCAATAAACTGCAACAGTTTGGTTCATTATTCATCTCTTAGAAAAAGCAAAATACTCACTCACTCAAAAATCCCCATCGTACCTCATAAAATTCATTAAAGGTTTGTAACCTTGCTATTTCATATTACCATGGAATTATCGCTTACATAGGTTTTTACATCAAGAAAATTAAACTCATTTAGATGTGGTTTAAGAGTAACAGAATTCTGTTTTATAGTAAAATAGAGGCCTGGTGCACAAAAATTCGTGCACTGAGGGGGGTCCCTCAGCCCAGCCTGCACCCTCTCACAGTCTGAAAGTCCTCAGGGGATGTCCTACTGATGGCTTAGGCCCGCTTCCGCTGGGAGGTGACCAGATGGACCAATCAGGGGACGGTGTCAGCCCACCCAACCGCCCCTCCACTGCTGTTGGTCATTGCCCCCCCACACCCACCCATCACCATTCCCTCCCTTTGCCCACTGGCATGTGCCTTGGCTGGCCTGGCCCTGCCTGCTTGCTAGTCCTGCCCCCTGCCTACTGGTCATTCTGCAGTTCGGTCGATTTGCATATTATGCTTTTATTATATAGGGTGGTTTAGAACAGTGGTTCCCAAACTTATTTGGCCTACCGCCCCCTTTCCAGAAAAAATATTACTCAGCCCCTGGAAATTACTTTTTTTAAAACTTTAATAGCAGTTACTCATCGCCCCCAAATGCACCTGTGGCCATCACCGCCCCCCTGGATCGCTGCAGCGCCCATTGGGGGGCGGTAGCGCCCACTTTGGGAATCACTGGTTTAGAACTAAATTTCTGATGTGGTTTTCTAGTCTATTTCATAACTTGCTGGAGGCACCCATACATATCTTTTTTAAAAAAGATTTTTTGATTTTTAGAGAGAGAGGAAGAGAGAGAGAGAGAGAGAGAGATCACCGTGAGAGCAAAGCATGGATCAGCTGCCTCCCCTAAACGCCCTACCGGGGATTGAGTCTGAAACCCAGGCATGTGCCCCAATTGGGAATAAAACAGGCAACCTTTCAGTGCACAGGACAACTCCCAACCAACTGAACCACACTGGCCAGGGCCATCTTTGCATATATTAATTCTTGTGGACTAGGGGTTGGCCAGTGATAGAACTATGGGCCAAAGGTGCCCCTCCCACCTGTTTTTGTGTAGATGGAAAGCCAAATATAGTCTTCACATTTTTAAATTATGGGGGGGGGGGAATCAAAAGAAGAATATGTCTTGACGTATGAAAATTCTATGAAATTCAGATGTCCACGTCCAGAAGTAAAGTTTTGTGGGGACACAAGCTCACCCATTTGTTTGTGCTCTTGTCTAGGGCTGTTCTTGCAATGCAATCGCAGTGGAGACCATGAGGTGCAAAGCCTTTTAAAATATTTACTATCTGGTCCTTTACAGGAAATGTTTGCCAACCCCCGTGGTATAGCAATTTCAAAGCCTATTTGATGCTATAATTTTATCAACTTAAAAAAATGCACTAGTGCGTGAGATCTCCTTTCCACCTTTTAAAAACACATGTGAGAAGATGACATTTAAAAAGTACAACACATGATTTTCTTGTAAACAACCTTCACTTAGAACTTTACTGAAGGCTGAACCATTTTATTTAGGCAAGAGATCTCCATTTGAAACCAGGCCCTAAAATTAAGAAAAAATGATAATAACCTGTTGTAGGATCAACTAGGCCTCAAAAGATTTTATATATATAAATTTACTCAGGGTTACTGTGATCCAGGCCCAGGCTTACTAGTAAACGTTTCGCATGTGTCATCTCATTTGCTTCTCGTGAGTCCTTGGCGGCGCCTGTCACTATTATCCCGTATCACTGAGGGGAGAGAGGGAACGCCAGAAAGGTTAAGTCAGTCACTGACCTAAGGTTACAGTGTTGGCAAGTGGCAGAGCTGGGAGTATTGGGATCCAGGCTGTTCTGATTCCAGAGCCAGCATTCTTCACTCTGTAGAAAGTCCAAGTGACACACTATCTTGCCTCCCGTCAATGAGATAAAAATCCATGATGTCATTTCTGTCCTATAGTGTCCACTGCTTGGGAGCGTCATCTGGCCAGAGGGCGAGGACACTGTAGCTGCCACGCTCAACTGCTCCCAGCTGCCAAGAAGCTGAGGACTCCCGCCTTGCAATGACTGTGAGCCGGTGAGGAGCGAATGCATAATCAAATACAATATTGCAATGTTAAACTATAATCCACCCCTGCACACACACACAGGAAGATACTCCTCTAACTCACCAATAATGTGGACTTGTAACTGTGGAATTGATAAGTCTTGTTCTTCTAGGATCAGTGTTTGATGTTTTGTTTTTAAATATATTTTTATTTATTTCAGAGAGGAAGGGAGAGGGAGAGAGAGATAGAAACATGAATGATGAGAGAGAATCATTGATCAGCTGTCTCCTGCATGCCTCCAACTGGGGATCTAGTCTACAACCTGGGCATGTGCCCTTGACTGGAATTGAACCTGGGACCCTTCAGTCCGCAGTCGAATGCTCTATCCACTGAGCCAAACCAGTTAGGGCAGTGTTGGATGTGTTTGAGATAGCTGGGATTATGGCTCATTGGGATTGGTCTCATTAACAGATAACACCACCAATACCATCCTCACCAGCCCCTTCCCCACACCACCTTGGCTGATACCAATTCAGACACTTGGATGTAGAGAGTGACATCAAGTTACCCCACAGCACTGAGGCTTCATAGAGGATCATAGGTCACTCAAAGTCATCTAGTCTAAGCCGTCATTTGAATTAGAATCTGACATTTGGTGAAAGAGAAATGATTGTGTTAGAAAGGTTGCACAGCAAGTTCCAGGACAGGCCTGGCTCTAGAAACTTCCTACTTGCATGGCAAATACTATAACCACTGAATTAACTGGGGTACATTTAACATTAAGAACTTCATCTTCCAAGCCAGGGGCATTAGGTTTCACAGATTCCAGGAAGTCCATATCTTTATCTATAAGGTTATGTTGCAGGAGGAATTAATGGGCCAGATTTCCCAGACAGAAGTAGGAATGTGGTTCTTGCATTACCACTGAAATAGACATTTTTAGAAGCCCCCACGGGAGGGTGGGATGTAGAAAAAGGCTTGCTTTGCATGAAGTTACATTTTTTGTGTTCCCAAGTCCCCTTTACCCCAAGCCAATCCTGAAAGAGGGGCAGCTGGGAGTTTAGCAAAGTCAAAAGCAAGGTCAGTGTCCAGAGTGTCTGTCCCATGTTGCAGCCAGGTGTAGTTCAACATCCAAGCTAATGCAAGTCCATTAGTTCATATGTGGAGCTCCACAGGACCGTGAGCCATGTGGGCACTGGAGAGCGCATCCCCTGCAACAGGAGTCCCAAGAGGGCCTGGTGCATGTGAGAGAGAGTGTGTTGGTGAGAGTGTGGTTACAGAGAAGTTCCAGGGAACCTGGTGAAAACGCGCACCGAGGCACTCAGCACTCCAAGTAACACAGTGTGTCTGCCAAGGGCTGGCTGTCCTGGAGATACCTGAGTAATTTGAGGCGTGAGGGCAGGTGTCCCTGGGTGTGCTTTGGCCACGAAAACATGACAATCAAGCAGAGTCAGCAGTCAGTTTCTCAGAAATTTGGCTGGAAGTGCTTTTACTTCATCACTTTCCTGGAGCGATTCCAGGGAATGGCAGCTCCAAAAGCAGATTGTTAGTGGTTTAGTC